GATGAATTGAATCTAAAAGTCATTTTGTTTGTCTTGATCCTCTCTGTATAAATATTTTATATACTGAAAGAAAACTAATACGACAGAGAACACAAGTTTTTGTTAGGTAGTTTTGTGTGACATGAAGTGCTCTTACGTTTCCCAGTTCATCTTTGTCCCTAGATTTGGTTTTATATCGAAAAGCTTTTTTTGACTCTTTGAGATAAGGGGGGCTATACTTTAGACTACCCGTGGTATCAGGCTTTCTGAGAGTGACCCCTTTGTTTTAATTTTTTGTACTGATTTCTATAATTTTTTTTAACGGTAAGAGCCCTTGAGGTTTAATAAGGAGAGAGATAGACACAACTTACACATGATTCATCAACTCACATGAGAGAATCCTCTTCCCCTTGTGGTATTGTATTTGTATGTATAATTCATGTTATGTAGTGGAAGTGTGTATGCCCTGATTTAACAAAAGGGCTCTGAGGTTATATATGTAAATACAATATGTATTTTAACAAATTTAAATACGCAAGAGGTTAAAGACAAAGTGAGTAAGTAAAAGTGTAAAACTAGGTTACTCTGTTGTTTTTTAATCTGTCAACTATGCTTTTATCTTATCCTATAGCAATTAGCAAATAGCTTTGCTGCTACGATTTTTCTTCTGTCTTCTAGTGCTACCCTGTCCTGTACTGTCAGTACCCAGATAAGTCTAGAATGTTGGCTGAGAACAGACTAATCTGTTCGAGCAATCAGAGGTTTGACATTAGTCTGAAAAATAATCCACAAGGGAGACTTATATTATACAAAACTTAAATGTTATAAATTCCCTCTCAGATTATAATTTGGGTTGTTCATTTTATTTTATCACCATTTGAGGATTCTTTGACTTGATGAAAAATGCTCAGAGGAAGGAATAAGAAAATAGAAAATTGAGGTAGATGTGATAATCTATGCTAGCCTGAGACGGTTGTTATTGGTTACTATTATATACATTTTATATCATTTAATCATCAATGGCCTTATACACAGTGACGTTGACTTGTATTTTAAATCTGAAACTGTTGTGGCTCTCTTTCCATTTGTTAGTCTTTAAATCTTAAATAATATGTTATTCTCTGTCATGAAAAAGTATGCACCTGTTTTTTTTTTTTTTTTTTTTTTTTTTTTTTTTT